CAGCTAAGTATGACCTCGCCAATCGGGCAGAAGCCGAGTGATGTGGAAGCAGTACCGATGACGTACAAGGATGTGATGTGTTCCAAGTACGAGGTTTTCTGGGAGGCGGCCATGAAGACAGAGATAGATGGCCACGACAAGACTGGAACCTTTACCAAGGTCAAGGAGCTGCCCGAGGGGCGGAAGGCCATAGGTTCAAAGTGAGTGTTCTTTTGGAAGTCGACGGAGAATGGCATGATAGTCGACTCCAAGGCCCGTATGGTTGCGCGGGGTTTCTCTCAAATCCCCGGCATCGACTTCCACCACTCATCCGCAGCGTGCCCGTCTGCAGCGTCTATCAAGACGGTGATTGCCGTAGCCACTGAAAAGGGCAAGAAACTCGCTCACTGGGATGTGAAGCAAGCGTACATCTACGCTAAGCTAAAAGGAGAAATATGCCTCAGGTTCCCGGAAGGCTGTGGTAGCATGTACGGCAAGGTGGTCAAGGTTGAGCGTGCCCTGTATGGCCTAAAGCAGAGTGGCCGTGAGTGGAGGTTTGAAGCTGCCGATGCCCTCATCGAGAATGGATACGAGCATTGCAGGGTTGACCGGTGCGTCTTCCGGAAGGTGGTGGATGGAGAGGTCGTAGGTCTCATCGTGATCTACGTTGATGACATCCCAGTGGCGGCAGACGAGGGAGAGCGCGAGGAGTTGTTCGCTTCCCTCAACAAGAAGTTTCCGGTGAAAGATCTGGGAGTGTACCTAGTACGACGGGTGTGCTATTGCCATGGATGTGGAAAATGGCATCACCAAGCTGTCCCAGACAGCATTCATTGAGAGTATGCTGNAGGTTTGAAGCTGCCGATGCCCTCATCGAGAATGGATACGAGCATTGCAGGGTTGACCGGTGCGTCTTCCGGAAGGTGGTGGATGGAGAGGTCGTAGGTCTCATCGTGATCTACGTTGATGACATCCCAGTGGCGGCAGACGAGGGAGAGCGCGAGGAGTTGTTCGCTTCCCTCAACAAGAAGTTTCCGGTGAAAGATCTGGGAGTGTACCTAGTACGACGGGTGTGCTATTGCCATGGATGTGGAAAATGGCATCACCAAGCTGTCCCAGACAGCATTCATTGAGAGTATGCTGAAGCGGTTTGATGTGACCACGGCCGCTTTCGCCCCTGCTGCCACCGATGCCGACCTAGGGCCGAAAAAAGATGACGAGCCCACGGTGGATAAGCCTGTGATGGAGGCGATCGGACGCCTGATGTGGACGAAGCTCAAGAGGCCAGACATCGCCCTGCCTCTGAACAAGCTCCAGAAAATCGCCCACTCACCCACCGGGAGGATATGGAACGCGCTTGTGCGGATCATGTCCTACCTCAACGTCACGAAGGACTTCGGCATCACCTACGTGCGGGGGTCAGGACTAGACCTAAGGGAGTTCGTCGATGCCAGCTACGCTGACAACGAAGTAGACAGGCGTTCTACGACCGGGCTAGCTGTGACCGTAGGTGGTACCGTAGTGTGTGCGTCCACCAAGACGTAGCCAGTGACGGCTCAGTCGACCTCGGAAGCAGAGTACCATTTATGGCAGCCGGGGAGGGCGTGAAGGAGGCGTTGTTTGTGCGTGGCGTTCTGTCGTTCATAGCGCCCGAGACGAGTGGGGCGAAGATCAAGGTCCTTGAGGACAACAAGGGACTCTTGCCTTAATCGAAAACCCGTTCAGCTCAGCGAGGAGCAAGCACATCGACGTNGTCCACCAAGACGTAGCCAGTGACGGCTCAGTCGACCTCGGAAGCAGAGTACCATTTATGGCAGCCGGGGAGGGCGTGAAGGAGGCGTTGTTTGTGCGTGGCGTTCTGTCGTTCATAGCGCCCGAGACGAGTGGGGCGAAGATCAAGGTCCTTGAGGACAACAAGGGACTCTTGCCTTAATCGAAAACCCGTTCAGCTCAGCGAGGAGCAAGCACATCGACGTGCGGTTCCATTTCATTCGCGAGCTATTCAAGTCGGGCAAGATCACTGCAGAGTATGTTCCGACTGGAGAGCAGCACGCCGACATGCTGACCCAAAAGGTCCATGGCAGATCAAAGTTAGAGTACCACCGGAAGGCTCTGATGAACCTACCGATGTAGTGTTCTCTTGTTATGTTTGGTTTATGTGGTGGTTTTAGCACTTGGCATATATGACCATGGTACGTCACGCTGGAAGCGTTGTGCCGGCGCGTCACCCGCGGCTGGAGCCTAGAAATGCCGAGAGCGTTGCTTCGGGTGTGTAATCAGCGTGACCGGTTCAATCTGTCGTGCCTTGGTCTTGTCTTGAAAGTGCGGCCGTTGAAATCCTCCGTGATAGCGACGGTTTTCTATGTTTAAGGTGTTAGAAGAGAGTTTTTGATCCGGTTGGCCGGGTTTCCCCTCGAGTCTGTTGTTTTGAGTCCCTTTGGTAGATCAGGGGTATCCATGCCCCACGTTATGTTTGCCATTCGCGTGCAAACCGGGGAGGGTGTTCGTGTGTTTGGATACGGACTGGTTAGATCTACCTGCAACAACAGAGGGCACGCAGATGGGGCATATGTACACCTTGAAATGGTTGCATGTGCGGGGACCCCTCGAACTCCAAAGAGGGCTTCACCTCTCCCTACTCCCCTTGCGTGTCTAACACAGGAGATAAAACGTCTTCCCCTTCCAAGTAAAGGACATATACGAACAGCCGCTGCTGCTGCTGCGGCAGCTGCTGCTGCTGCTGCAACCAAATGTTGATCTCTCCTCTCGCTTCCTCCGCCGATAGCTGACAGCAGCAGTGTATGGCACACCCTCCTCCCGCCGTCTCGCCCTCGCTGTGGTCTGTGTCTCCCTCTCCCTGTTTGTCCATGTCTGGCTCTGTGTGTGTGGTGTGTGGTGTGCGAGGCTATCTGTCTTGGTTCAAAATCAAACGACGCCTCCTCTCGGTGTTGCAAGGGGCCAGAAACTTCCCTGCTTCAAGTTGGGTACCGACGCTGCACTATCTCGACGCACCGAGCACGAATTGAAAAGGTAGCAGTTGGGGCAGCTCGGGCAAAATATTNGAGACGGACAGACAGACAGACAGCCTTACTTGAGCCCGTTTTGCCCCCCCCCCCTCGGTGTTTGCCATCGGGGTTGGGTTTTTGTCGCTTGGCAACGACGTTGTAAAACAAGCCGCCCCCCCCGGTGTTTGCCATCGGGGTTGGGTTTTCGTCGCTTGGCAACGACGTCGTATCACAAGCCAATTCACTTCGTGAGCTCGGCAACCAGGTCACCGTTGTTGTTTTGTTCCTCTGTTCTGCTTTGGCGGTGACCATAACGGTGGTCGAGTGGATCATGTTGTGCGGGGTGGAGAAGCCTCACTCCGTGCAAGGGGGAAGACCGCACCACGTTCTGTCAAATGGTCAAGCACCCTCGACGCAGTTACACCCAGTGTTTACAACTCTCTCTGGAAGTGAAGCACCAGAAATAAATTAAGTCATACGCAGCTGTCATCCGTANTACCTTCGTTTTTTTTTTGGCGGTAACCATGACTGGTGGTCGAGTAGATCATGTTGTGCGGGGTCGAGAACCCTCACTCCGCGCAAGGGGGATGATCGCACCACGTTGTGTTAAAATGGTCAAGCACCCTCGAGGCAGTTACACAGTGCTTACAACTGTCTCTGAAAGTGAAAGCACCAGAAAATAAATTAATTCATACGCAGCTGTCATCCGTACGCAAGGAAGTAAGCACAAGATGCCGAACACCCTTAGCAGGATGCAGCGCACCCTTCATGCGACTCGCCGAATATCTCACGGCGCTTCGCGCTTGGTGATGTGAGAGCCTGGTTCGGTGAGAACCCGGCGTGCTCCGTCCCGGCTTTGTAGGGATGCGAGGTCGATGGTCTAACGACTACGGCATGCATTTCTATGAGTACACCCCCCCCCTCTAAACAGCTTTCGTTTGAAAAACAAAAAGCGTCCCTATCGGGCCACTTCGCTTCGAAAAAAAACTATTGTCATCGCCTTCTTTCTCTCTCTCTTTCTCAGTCTTGCTTTGACCCCCGATCTTTGCTGCGCGTGGTTCTACGCAGCAATATATATCAAATAGCGTAGGCCCATGTCTATGTTGCTTCCGGCACTACATCACGATCAGAAGATAACGATGGCGCTCGCACTTAAGAACTTGGCAGTTCAGAAATGCGGCCTCGAAAAAAATCAAAATCAAAGAAAATGACCACATAATAATAATAACAACACACGTGCGTGCTCAGGCCCGACGTGCGTGGTGTAAAGAACAAAAACGAACCCGCCTTTCTTTGTGATGTAAGAACAGAGCACCCAAAACGCGACAGCTGCAAGATGTAATAAGCACTCACGAAGGAAGGGGTGAGGGGCTACTCGCGGGGTGACCGGTGAGATCAGCGGCGAGGAGGAGGTTCCTTTGAAAATAGAACTGGTGGTGCGGAGATGGGGAGGGTGTACTGTTTTCATTTTTGCGCGTCTAACGGTAGTCAACTATAAAAAAACCGGGCTTACAAATGCCGGCACTCTTGAAGCTTTTTTTTTATTGCCGCGAATGTCCAATATATCGGTGTGTCGTTTACTCTGTGGACACCGGCTGGTACACAGTTTTCGCGGCAAGGCATGAACATTCTCGGGCTTGGACAACCTCGCCTGTAACCAAGCAGAGATACAAATAAATGTCCCTTAACTGAATTTGGGCAACGGTGCAGTCGACCGGGTTACGCAGGTTGCACAACGCCTAGAGGTTACAGGTCACTTCAACCCCCCGGTAACCGTGCCCACTGGCCGCCTGTGGATGGATGCGGTAGGAAAGGTAGCACAATGCGCGTGGACAGGAGCTGCGACCACAAGTCGGGTTTTCACCATGTACCGTTCGTTGGCAAAGGAATCATGGCAGTAGACTACTTTGGCTTCAAGTGGCGTGGCAGATACTTCGTGTTTACGACCCTGTGCTTCGGGTGGTGCTCTTCGCCATACATTTACCACTCTCTTTCGGCGGTGGTGTCGAGGTACGTAAGGACAAAAGATATTCCAGTACTCACGTGGATCGATGATTTTTACGTCACGAACTTCCGTTCCACTCGCGGATTGAAGCCAGTGCAGCAGAAGCAGGCAGCCAGGGTGGCAGGATACTTGGTCATGACCGTGTTTTACAAGGCGGGGTACTTTATGTTCATACCAAAATGTGAGCTCGAAGCGACCAACAGACTGATCTATTTAGGAGTTGTGTGCGACTCAAAGGAGCAGAAGTTCTTTATTCCGAGGAAAAAGTGGCGAATGTGGAGACAATCCTCACCGAGGCACTGACCCGAGGAGTTATTTCGTTTCAGGCTTTGGAAAAGCTCGCAGGGAAGTGTACAAGCATGTCAATCGCGTGTCCAGCGGCAGCTCTATACAATCGTATACGCACCACATGTACAAGCACATCGGAATGTTTCAGAGAAACGGAGNTGTGTGCGACTCAAAGGAGCAGAAGTTCTTTATTCCGAGGAAAAAGTGGCGAATGTGGAGACAATCCTCACCGAGGCACTGACCCGAGGAGTTATTTCGTTTCAGGCTTTGGAAAAGCTCGCAGGGAAGTGTACAAGCATGTCAATCGCGTGTCCAGCGGCAGCTCTATACAATCGTATACGCACCACATGTACAAGCACATCGGAATGTTTCAGAGAAACGGAGGACGGAAGAGATACATGGACATTGACGTCCCCAAGAACGACGGTTTGCGCTTTGAGATGGCGAAGTGGTTGGAGGTAGGAGAGAAGATGAACGGAGCTGCATGGTACGCGGCACGGCACGAGAAACTGACGATAGTAGGGGCGTCGGACGCATCGTCGACCGGATGGGGCGGTTTGATTCGATGTCCAGGCGAAGTAGGGTTTCGCGTAGCGGGTTATTTCCCAGACGATTGGACAGCACAGCAAACGAGCAAGAAGAAGCGTATGCGATTCAACAGCTTTTGGTCTTGCACTGTCAGCAAAAACCAGTAAGGGTCCGAGGTTTGACGTGGGTCGTCGTAGAAGACAATCAAACTCTTTTCTACGCGTTGAGGAACGGGAAGTCTTCAAACACTCGTTTGCACGAGATTGTGGCAGAGTTGTTTGGGCTACAAGTGCAGGCGGATTTCACCCTCAACGTACAGTGGGTGTGTTCGAAGGCGAACGCAGAGGCGGACAATTTGTCGCGTCCAGACGCAGATGTGTACGTTCGGTTGGAGGAAGAAAACTTCGCACAATTGTTTGTGGCGGTGGGTTGGGAGACCTTTCGACATGGATTTGATGGCCACAGCGGCATTGGCACAAAGCTACCAGGAAGCGACAGGCAGTTGCCGTTTTACTCGAGGTTTTACAATGAGGGTTGCGCAGGCAGTGATGATGTGTTGAGTCATGATTTGAGGTGTTTGCCGGCTTTCGAGAAGGCTTGCTTTGGTCTTTGTTTTCCACCAACGGCAATGGTAGGAGGAGTGGTGTTGCAACGCATGGCAGAGTGTGGAGCGCGAGCGTTTGTGGTTGTGCCAGACCAACAGCAAACCTGGTATCTAATGCTGGCAGACGCCCCAGTACGGTCTGTCACAATAGCCACTCAAGCAGAGGGATCGGTATTCTATCGAATGCACCATCAGCGAGGGAAGGTGTCCTTTGCCTTTTAGAGATGAGCGATGCAAGCGGTGGAGGTGAACTTCGCCGATCAATATTTGGATGATTATTGTGTTACGTGAATGTGTGTATCAGGCGCTATGGAGCTTGTTAACAGCGGCGAGGCTCATCTGGACTATTCTGGAGAGGTGGTGGTCTGGTACGGGCCAACAACACCAAAACCGAGGATCATCCATCAATCATGACCACTTGATCGAGGTGGCACCAGCACGATCAAAGTTTTGTGTCCGTACTCAGAATGTTAAGGTGAAAACGATGAGCGATACAGGTATTGCCAATGGTGCGCCAAGGCTTGTACAAGTTCAGGTCAGAATTTTACAGTCGGTCCCTTGAACATTGATGAGGCCGCTCTAGCCAAGAGATACAGAGAATTCAAGGAGGTAACGGCAGATACCGCGGCGATCAGGAGCAGATGCGCGACAATGCTTACATACACGCAGTTTCTTCAGTCGCGAACAACAGGGCGTGTGGTGTCTATGTCGGAATCTCAGCCGATATATATATATAATAGTTGACTATCTTTGCTGGTTGGATGCCTTCGGCAAGAGGAGGCGTATGGTTGTGCACGCAAAGGAGTGTCAAGCGGTCGCCACCTCAAGCTTAGACGCCTGTGCAACCGAGCAGGGGGCGTGTACCAAGAGGTATGCTCACGACTCTCTGAGAACGAACCACGTGTCAAAATTGGCGGTGGCTTTCGAGAAGGAGATGGGATGCACGCACGATTGGGACAGTCAACGACGACCAGGAAACCCAGTGAGAAGCGAGTTGGTGACACAGTACATGCGGTTTACGACGAAGCAGCAATAGCAAGCAGGGGTACTCGTTAAACAGGCGCCAGCGATACTGCGCAGCCATTTGCATCAGATACTTGGTTCCTTTGAGGACCGAGCTCGATTTTACAACATCGGCGGAGAAAAGGGTGACCTTGGTCCGAGATCGAAGAGGGGAGACGAGTTGGTAAACACGCTCATACAACGTATACTGCGGCTACCCAACAAGAAGAGCGGACTTATGTTCAATTTCCAATGAGGGAAGACGCAGCGAGATGGGGCGGATCACGTGCTATCAGTGGAATACGATTCGGAGTGTCCCCCTTTGTGCCCTGATAGTGCAGTAGAGCGCCACATAGACAAGGGAAAAAGTGTGGGTTGGGATATGAGTACAGGCTATTCGTTCTCGGGCATTTCGGCGAGTAAGATGGGAAAGAAGCCGAAAAGGGAGCCGAGGCCAGTGACGGCGGCACACATGACAGGAACGTTGAAGAATTACGCGAAAGGAGTCGGTTTGGAGGAGGAGTTTTCGATGCATTCGTTCAGGGCAGGGGGAGTCATTTCGAGGACTCTAGCCGGAGAATTTCTTTCGACAATGATGCAGAGAGCGTACTGGAAAAACCCGAAGACGGCGTGGAGGTACGTGAGGCTCATGGAGGTAGCTCCAGAAGCGGGAAACGAAGGCATGGTAAAAGGGATCACGGAGGACCAGTACCGGGAGTTGAACGAGTTTTCATTGAGCGAACAAAGTCGTTCATTGGCTGCGTTCGGGAACAAGCCGTTACTCTAATAAAGAAAAGACAACGACGAAGAACACTACGTATACTTTAGTATGGGATAAAACATTGAACACCTTCAACTTGGCATCTCAAGGATGTGGTGTAAGTTTTGGAGGGAGACTGATGGAATGTAACCGTGTGCAAGTTGTATTCCTGGCACTGGGCACTGTGTGTATAACAGTGTGGTGGTGCAGAGGCTCACAGAGTGATCGTGAGATCACTTGGATTGAGGTTGAGACAGAAGATGGTTTGAATTGACGCTTAGGTGGCCGAAAGGTAGAAACAGTTGAGGAGTCATCAGATGGGGGGCAAGCACCACAGGGGTTAGCCCTTGAGCCTGTCACGGGAAGTTATTGTTGTTGTTGTTGTTGTTGTTGTTGTTTCTCAGAATAGCACTATCGTCCACAAAAAATGGGCAGCCCGTGGTCTCAAAACCCGGCACATACGACGCCGTGGGAAAAAAAAACAAAAATAGATAGGGTACAAACCACTCGGAAAAAGAAAACAAAATGATAGAAAGAAAAGAACAGGTATCGCACCGACCGTTCGAGAAACAAGCCCTCGGAAACCGATCAAAATAAAACAAAAACAAAAATAAAGATAAAGGAGGACGCTTCCCACACCCGCCCAAAGAAAAAATCAAAGGGTAACGTACCAGCACCAGGCACTACGCACCAGGGCATGGGAGTAACGGAGCAAACAGGACAAAGAGGCGGCAGATGGGCAGACAGCCAGACGTACAAAAACAAAGGCAACAGCAAAGCGAGATCAAGGTACCCAACACAGCAGAGTAGGCAGGAAGGTCATGAAAAAAAGAAGCACAGCACAGAGGCCGAAGGCAATACAAAGGACATACATAAAGGAGTGTAGCATACAGCAGGGAGGGAAACAGGGCGCAACAACATCAGCCGGGTACATAGTTCGCCACAAGTGCTGCCTCGGCCGCCCTACTCGCTTCTACAGCAGTGCCCGGTCGCCGTTTCTTCCCCCCCACCGCCGCTTCCCCG